TCCAAGGTATTTATTTGTTCACTACACAAACATCCTTGAAAAGATAGTTCAGGACTAGGCAAGGTGATGAATGCCTGTAATCCCAATTAGTCAGAGGCTGAGGCAGAAGGTTCATAAGTTTGAGACCAACCTGGACAGACATAATTAAAATAAAAAGGCCTATGGATGTCACTCAGTGGTAAAGTGTTCAATTAGCATGTGCAAGACCTGGATTCAAATCTCCAGTACCAAAATAAATAAATAAATAAATAAATAAATAATCACTGTGTGTTCAGTCTTGCATAGTAGCCCGCCCTCACACTGTAGGTATACTTTTTTTTTTTTTTTTCGAACTTGGTACCTTGCACTTGCCAGGCAAACGCATGCCACTGAACCATATCCCCAGTTGTAGATATACTTCTTTCCTTAGTTTTACTTGCCCTATAATTCACTCTGTAGAGCCTCTTCTTCTTTCCTTCCTTCCTTTCTCTCTCTCTCCCTCCCTGTCTCTCTCCTCTCTCTCTTTCTCTCTCTCTCTTTTTTTTTTTTTTTGGTTGCAGAACTGGGGATTGAACTCAAGACCTTGTGCTTGCCAGGCAAGCGCTTATTCTATTGAGCTATCTTCCCAGCCCCTTTTCTTTCATTTTTTGAGACAAGGTCTCATTGTGCAATCAGGATATTCTTGAACTCACTATGTAGTCCAGGCTGGCCTTAAACTCATGGCAATCCTATCGCTTCAGCTTCTCATGTCCCGGGATTATAGGCAAGAACCACCATGCCCAGTTTTTCCTACCTTTAATAAAGCTTTTCTACTATTAAAAATAAATAAGAGAAAATAAAAAGAAAAGATAATCCAAGTCAGGTGTGGCAGCACATGCCTTTAATCCTAATCCCTGTTGTTTACGGGGCTGAGGCAGCAGGAATGTAAACTGGATGCCAGCCAGGTGACTTTCTGTCAAGGTAAAAATATAAAATAGCTAATACACAGCTCTCCTTGAAAGAAGAGTGACTGTCTCCATTTTGACTGAGCCTGACCCTATTTCCTCATATTGTTATGTACAGAGCTGACTAGGACTTCTGTTTATCCTTCAGTTGGCCTTGAGCAATGTGTATTGGTCTAGCTGAGGCGCTGGTGACAGTCTTTGAAGGTGGTGTGCATGTTTCCCTGGTAACCTACACTTGCTGCTTTTTTTTTTTTTTGTGGCAGAACCAGGGATTGAACTCAGGCTCTTGTGCTTGCCATGGAAGTGCTTATTCCACGGAGCCATCTCCCCGGCTCCTCTGCTGCTCTTTAACGTGGGCCAGGTCAAGACAGGATGAAAGAGCTAATGCTCTGCACCACCAGCTGGGATGGAGCCTTGAGATAGAGGCTATGACTTCCTGGGGCTTGAAAGACTACATCAAAGCTGAAGCACCAGACCCCCCAAAACATTAGATGCTATCTCTATGGCATAATAGTATAATGAAGGGGGCTGGTGAGATGGCTCAGTGGTCTAAAGCACCTACTTAGAACAAGCTTAGCAAAGCACAGGGACCATGGTTCAATCCCCCAGCACCACATGCCAGCCAGCCCTGCCCCCTGGTGGGCTGAGCTGGCCACACACACACACACAAATAAATAAATAAAGTTCAAAAAAAAAAGTTAAAAAAAAATAGTATAATGAAGATTACGGTCTCTGCATATCCTCTCTGCATATGGCAGAGGTAAATGTAGGCCCCCTACCTAGCTCAGCTCACAGTACTCACCTACTTCCCACAATTCTCAGTCATTCCTCCTCCTCCACTGAATAAAACCCGGTGAGGCCCTGGGTCAGCCTCTTGGTTCCAGAAAGCCATCTTTGTGACTGGACTTAGGGCCCCTTGGCTCCCCAATAATTATAAATATGTTTTAGTGTCTTTACTAAGGGGTTGCACTGGGAGTGGTACATTGGGATTAATTTGATGGGATTCCAATAACATAACTTTGGGATTACAAATACTAGTTTCTTGGACAGAGACGAGGACCTGGAAGTGACTCCTACACACACACACACACACACACACACACTATATATATATATATATATATATATATATATATTCATATATAATATTAGCTAAGCATGGTAGTGCATACCTGTAATCCCAACAGTTGGGAGGCCAAGGCAGGAGGATCCTTGTGAATTTGAGGCCAGTCTGGGCTACAAAATGAGTTCAAGTCCAGCCTGAACTGCATAGTGAGACCCTGTGTTCAAAAAATAAAAAAGTACAATAGATATTGTGAAATGTGAAGAAAATGTTCAAATGGGAAGGGATATTAGGGAGGGGGACGGGGAAAAGGAGGGGAAAAGAAAATGAGAAAAGAAAAAAATGGAAACAAGCCTGTAAATAGGGGCTGGGGAGATGGTTCCGTGGAATAAGCTCTTTCCTGGCAAGTGCAAGGGCCTGCATTGAATCCCCAGTTCTGCCAACCCCCCCCCCAACCAAACAAACAAAAAAACCCAACAACAACAAAAACCTATAAATAAGGAGAGGAAGAGGTACTGAAGGGCAGGTAGAGGAATGGGGAAAAGAATTGAGATTATCATGTAGGTACAAATTCTCATGACAAATTTGATCACTATGTATATCTAAAATGTATCAATAAAATCTAATTGAAGAAAACAAAGATACATCATTTACAGGTATAAACTCCCTATGATGAATGTGATCATTATGTATACCTAAAATCTACGGGGCCGGGGAGATAGCTCAGTAGATTAGGCACTTGCCTGGCAAGTACAAGGGCATGATTTCAATCCCCGGTTCTGAGGAAAAAAAAAAAAAAAAGTACCAATACACTTAAAAAAAAGAAAAAGCAAGTTCTGCCCATTCAAAGAAGGCCATTGAGAGTATATGGGGTTCTGGCTTCAGTTGGTAAACTTTTTGAGGGCTTTAAGTATAAAAAAAAAAAAAGAAAGAAAGAAAGAAAAGAAAAAGAAGAAAGAAGCGGAAGAGGAAGAGGAAGTGGAGGCAGCAGCAGCAGCAGCAGCAGCAGCAATAGACAGCAGCACTTGGGAGGCTGAGGTAGGAGGATCCCTGCGAATTTGAGGCCAGCCTGGGCTTACATAGGGCCTGTATCAAAGACAAAAAGCAAACTACAACAAACCAAATCAAAATCCAAAAGAAAAAGAAAAAAAAAAAATGTTCCTGGTGGGGGGATGGACAGACTGGGTTTCCAGAAATACAGAAGGGGAAGATTTTTTTTTTTTTTTTTTTTTTTCAGGACCTTGGACTTGCCAGACAAGCACTTATTCCACTGAGCTATCTCCCCTTGAAGGGGAGGATCTTGAAATGGGCAGAATGACAATAACCTCTTCCTGGCTTGGCTTGCTAGTGCAAGAGAGAAATGTGGCCTGAGGAGGCTCAACTTGATTCCAAAGTGCCATCTGTTACTATGGTTGTAATAACACCTCCGCCCCGCCGGCACTACGGCTTGGCGTGTACGGAAAAGGAAACCCAAGGAATTGTAGAGGTCAGCAGAGACTTCTCTAACCAAGTAGCCCCCTGCATCCGCGGCGAAACACAGTAAAGAAGAGATACAACGAAAACACCCCTCCACTCCAAAGAGGCCTTCCACCAGACTCCAGCACCGGGATCCGGCTCTGGGGCTGGGTCAAGCGTACAGCAGACACGCCCCACTCCGGGCAAAGCGAGCTGAGGTCTCAGTATACTTCACTTCCGCCCTCACAACCGGCCCGGATGGAAGGGGCGGAGCTGCAGCCAGGGCGCGCTGTCTGTGCATCACTTCCGGTTGAACTCTTCAGCGACAACGGCAACATGGCCTTGAACGGTGCAGGTGAGGCATTGGGCCGCCACGTCGTGTGGCTGAGGGGCACGGGAAGCAGCTTGCTCGGCAAGGCAACAGTCCTTTGTGTCTCTCTTCCCCAGAAGTCGACGATTTCTCCTGGGAGCCCCCGACTGAGGCGGAGACGAAGGTGCTGCAGGCGCGACGAGAGCGACAGGATCGCATATCCCGGCTCATGGGCGATTATCTACTGCGTGGTTACCGCATGCTGGGCGAGACGTGCGCGGACTGCGGGGTGAGGAGAGACTTGAGCGAATGGCGGGGAATGGGGCTGTGGGCCAGGCTGCATGGCTTTTTCTCAGTTCTCCCCTCTAGACCCCATTAACCTGCGTCTCATCCGTGCCCCGTGTCTTTCTGGTCCGCAGACAATCCTCCTCCAAGACAAACAGCGGAAAATCTACTGCGTGGCTTGTCAGGAGCTTGATTCAGACGTGGATAAAGATAATCCGGGTGAGGGGCTAGGTTTGCCCGTTGGAGGAGCTGCGAGGTGTGAATGAATGCCCAGGAACTATAGGCCTGCGAGTGACAGTGGGTGGTATAGGTGGGGCCAGAAGTAAGATATTTTCCTAAGACCACTAAAAACCTGCTGTTCCCAACACTGGGGAGTCTGAGGTCCATCAGACACTCTTGATGGGGAGATAAAGCTAACGGATTGGGACTGGGGGTGTAGCTCACTGGTAGGGTGCTTGCATAGGATTAGTTAGATCCGAGTTCCATTCCCACCTCTGTAAAGGTAGAAACTGAATGACTGACTTGATAAGAGGCACAGAAAACAAAGAAATGAAGAGGTGATGACTCAGGGCTCACTATTGCACCCATTTTCTCCTTTTAGCACTGAATGCCCAGGCTGCCCTCTCCCAAGCTCGGGAGCACCAGCTCGCCTCTGCCACAGAGCCGCCCTTAGGCTCTCGGCTCACAGCTCAGCCCCCAGTACCCCGGCCGGAGCACTGTGAGGGAGCTGCAGCAGGGTTGAAGGCAGCTCAGGGGCCACCCCCTCCTGCTATGCCTCCAGATGCAGACGCAGTGGCTTGCACACAGACAGCCCTTCTACAGAAGCTGACCTGGGCCTCAGCTGAGCTGGGCTCAAGTGCCTCCCTGGAGACTAGCATCCAGCTGTGTGGCCTTATTCGGGCCTGTGCTGAGGCCCTGCACAGCCTGAAGCAGCTGCAACACTAACACCCCTCCCTCTGAAAAATCCTGTGGAAAAACAGCTGTTCTTCTGTGTGCTTTGTACCTTTCTTGATTGAGTGCATGCCAGCCCCAGTTCTACTTGCTTTCTTAATTTGGGCCTTTGACAATTCCACATCTATTCTTCCTGATGCTCTGAAAGATGAGCTTATTTCTGCTCAGTTTCTGCCATCAGAATGAGGGGTAGTTAAGAGGACTGGGTAATACTCCCTTTCTGAGGAAGAGACCATAGCTTTCTCAGGTAGAAGAGGGCTCGCCCCTGGCCGTTTCTCGAATGTCAGTCATTCCTGACCTTTTCCCTCCCACCCATGAGCATTCTGTCACCCTTCCCACCTCATGCCCACCCCAGGCACTCACACACTGACGGGGTTGTGGGGACCCCAACATTGCAGGTTAAGTCTAGTGTGGACCTGCTCCAGTCCCCTGACCCTCACTTTTAGATCGTTAGGGAGGGTAATCGTATAGTAAATTGTATATGGGATGGGACAGTAAAAAGAACCGCTAGGGAACCATGTCTGCCCTTTTTGCCTCTTTCGCGAACTCCTTTCCCGGCTTCCAGTCTTTGGGGGCGCGACGCGGGCCGCAGTGGCCGGTTTAAGGGAGGCCCCGCCTACGCGGGAGGCGGGGCCAAGGCGGAGTCCGAGGAGCTGGGGAAAGAACAAAGCCGGGCCTGCGGGCGGCGGTTGGCTCGGCCGGCGGAGCCCTCCGGGAGGCGGCCCGGGTGGAACCCTGGGCGGAGTGTCGCAAACAGGGAGGCAGTGTTTCCCTCCGCGCCGGCCGGGCCATGAACGGACTGCCCTCGGCCGAGGTGCCAGGCAGCGTGGGTTGCGCCCTGGCCGGGCTCCCACCGTTGCCGCGCGGCCTCAGCGGCCTCCTCAACGCGAGTGGGGGTTCGTGGCGGGAACTGGAACGCGTCTACAGCCAGCGCAGCCGCATCCACGACGAGCTGAGCCGCGCCGCGCGCGCCCCGGATGGGCCCCGTCACGCCGCGGGTTCTGCCAGCTCCGGACCTACCGCCGGCCCTCGTCGGCCAGTCAACCTCGACTCGGCTCTGGCCGCGCTGCGCAAGGAGATGGTGAGTTGGGGCGGGGACTTCTGCGGGAGGGGCTGTGGCTGGGCGGAGCGCAGAGGCTCGGGACCAGGATGCGGGCCTGTCTCCGAGGCTCCTGAGTCAGGGGTTTTGTTCCTGCAATTAGAAACAGCAGCGCATGGCAGGAGTTTACATGCATGTTTTTATTTTTTATTCATGCTCAGCTCATCCCACTGAGTGGGGGGGGTGTTACCCCATTTTACAGGTAGGAAGGCTTAGTGACTGAAGTTTCACATCTTGCAGTATTTTTTGTTGTCCCGGAAACTTTCGTTTAGAAAGATGCAAGAAAATTGTGGCCTGGGTTGGGGGATTGGGATTCCAAAAGGGTGGATTGGGGGTGGCAGGACCCCTACTCCAACCTACTGTCAGTTGTCTGCAGGTGGGTCTTCGGCAGCTGGACATGTCCCTGCTGTGCCAGTTGTGGGGCTTGTACGAGTCAATCCAGGACTACAAGCATCTGTGCCAAGACCTGAGCTTATGCCAGGACCTGTCGTCCTCCCTGCACTCGGACAGCTCTTACCCACCTGACGCTGGCCTATCTGATGACGATGAGCCGCCTGATGCCAGCCTGCCCCCAGACCCACCACCCCTCACTGTACCCCAGACACACAATGCCCGTGACCAGTGGCTGCAGGACGCCTTTCACATCAGCCTCTGAAGAGCTGGAGTTGGTGGGGATGCACCCAAGCAAAAGGCTCAAAACTCACCCTTTTAGTAATCTTCAGACTACAGTGCCTGCTCTTCCACCGGTACCACCTCACCTTACCTTTCAGGAGGGCAAGGCGTGTGCTTCTCAGGCAAGACTGGCAGCCCCCCTCCTGCTTAGCTGCCACTGGGTGGGCTCCCAGGTTGCAGCCTCTTCCATGGTGGTGGGCCTCCACTTCTCTCCCACATGTGCACCTCCAGCATGGCCACCCATAGTCTGGCAGTGGGGCTCACAGCGTCTTGCAGTCCCCTTGGTATTTCTGGGACTGAGATGAATGTCTGGCTCCCATTTGTTTTTCTACCTTTTGCTGCTCTTGGCAGCTCCTGGCTCAGGGGCCTCTCACCTCCATCCCTGGGTTCCAGCGTCCTGGATAAGGACTCCAGGAGCCACGCCTGCACTTTGCCAGGCAGTAAAAGGCTGGGACTCCATGCTGGATATTTAAGTTTAGGAGCAGCCTTCTGGGCGTGTAAATAAATATTCTCGGCATTATTGTGTTCTGACTGCCTTACTCTGGGGGCGGGAATACAGTATAGCGGTTTCTGGCAATTGCGGGCCTCGCTTCGCCGGCAGGTGGCGCCTAAGACCCAAAATAAAGGCCTTTAGCAAGGGCGGGATGAGAATTTTCTCACCCGGGGTGGGGTTTGAGAGCGTTCCCCGCTGGCTCTGCAGCTGTGACTGCGGTCGAGTCACTTCCCCTCGCAGTGGTGGCCTGAGAGCCCAGCCCCCTTCCCACTCACTTTGGGCTTTTCTGGCCGGTCGGGAAGGAAGGTGAAGGAGCCACCCATCTTGAGCGAAACTTTTCCCCTCGAGTGGGGGTGGAGTTCGGGCGGCACAGGAAATGGGTGGGCCGGAGCCAGCCCTCAGACCTAGGGGCCCTTCAGCGGGAAAGGGGAAGGCACCTCCAGGAAGGGCCAAGGACCCTAGGGTCCAGGATGGAAGGAAAGAGCTTCAGAGGCAGAAGGGATGCAGTTATGACTTCGCACAGGCCAGGCAAGCCTGGGAAGGCATAGGGCCTGGACTTGGGTGCTAGAGACTCAGAGGCGGCAAAGAATGATTGAGACACCCCTATTTCGAACTTAGTCTCATATCAGCCCCCCCCCCCATAGGTTGTAGTAAAGGGCTTCCACGGAGGAGACATTTCCAAGGACTATACCACTGGTTCTAGGAGTCAAGCTGCGTGTCAAGTTAGCCAGAAGATGCCTGCATGTTCGAGACCTTGCACATTCAGACACACAGTAGTCAATCACTTTTCTTCTGGAGATGTCGCACTCCAGGCAGACCAGAGGTCCTGTTCAAATACAGTACAAGTTTTTTTTGTTTTTGTTTTTTTTTTTTTTTGCGGAACCGGGAATTGAACTCAGGCCCTTGCACTTGCCAGGGAAGCACTTATTCTACTGAGTCATCTCCCCAGCTCCCAGTTCAAGTTCTTACCAAGCACAGGACTGAGGTCAATTGATAAAGCTTGCAAAACGCAAACTCAGGAGGGAACTAACTAAGTGTTGCCCCAGGGTAGAGTCTGACTCTGAGTTTGACACCTGCAGATGTTCATTGCCTTGTGCAGCAGGTGGGTAGGCGATAAGGCTCTAATCTAGGTGTTAAAGCAGCGGCCAACACCCTCCCAGGCAGGCTTCCCAGGGTAGGAGAGTAAATAGACACGCGTGCACACAGGCCTTAAGGGATTCCATGCAAGGAGACTGGGCAAAATCAGCCAGACTTTTGCTTTCTCTCAGTGACTGTAATGGACAGGACTGTAATTATCCCCATTTAACAGTTTTTAAATCAGCTCAGCCGAGGCACAGTGCCTGCCTGGCAAGCGCAGTCGTGGGGCTTGGGGTTGTTACAGGTAGTGCTACCCGAGGTGGTCCGTGACTGCTCTTTTTTCTATGATTCCGACATGGGTGGCAGCAGAAGTCAGACGCCCTTGTTGAGCACACTTAGCTCTGGGGCAGATATTTAGGAGGACCCTAAGCAAGTTCCTTTCCCTTCTTAGCCTCTCTTGTCCTAGCCTGTGCAATGGGATCACGAGTATGTAAGAGACAGGAAGGGAGGCGGCCCGGGCTACAGGCGGCGCCAAGCAACCAGTTGCCCTCTTTCTGGGCCTGCGAGTCCCGCCTCCGCCTCGAGCGCCCACCGGCCTGCGGCTGGGAGCTGGCCACAGGACTTCGGTAGCAGCGGGAGGCCCCGGAAGCCAGGCGGCCCCGCCCCTGCCCCGCTGTGCGCCGGGGCCCCGCCTGCCTTCCGACGGGGGTGCGGCTCCAGGAAACCGCGCGCTCGCCTCTATGCTGTTGGGGCAGCCCTAGGTGCCCGGAACGACGCCGAGACTGCGGCCGGATTATCCTGCGAGCCCCAGCGGCGGCATCAGGCGACCGCGACCTTAAATCGGAGTCCCAGACACCTCGGCACGGACGGGGCGGACAGGACAGTACAGCGGATAGAAGCTCTAGAGGCCATGGAGACCCCTGTCAGGCCGGCACTCCTTAGTCAGCGGGAACCACGGGTCTAGGAAGGGGCCCGCGGGAGCAGCGGGGGCCATGACCACAGTGTGGAAGCGCCTGCAGCGTGTGGGCAAGCGGGCCGCTAAATTCCAGTTCGTGGCCTGTTACCATGAGCTGGTGTTGGAGTGCACCAAGAAATGGTAAGTGGAAGGGCTGAGGGGGATTCCCCAGATTACCAGGGACCCCATTCTGCCTTCTCAGCCTGAGAAACATCTCCCACCCCAGCCTGTGGTCAGGATCCCCTCCTCCTCCTTGCTCTGGCTTGAGCCCATGTGTCCCAAGAAGGAGGACTCTGAAGTTCCTTGCAACTTTCAGGATTCCCTGGGCTGGGGTGTGGGGAGGCTTCCAGGGATGGAGGTGAGAGCTTTTGGGCCTGAGAATCTATGTCCAGATTTTTTTAGCTATGGTCAGGTCTGAAGGAGGGAACTTGAATGTCTTGGGCCAGGGAGGTGGTTGCAGGGTGGACCTGGAATGGGTAACAAGTTTTGAGGTATACATGTGGTCAGAGCTGAGGCAGAAACTTCGTACACATTAGCTCACTTTAAAACAAAGTTGTCTGCCCTCTTCCCCCTGCCCTCTTGTTGGCTAGAGGATAACCCTCTCCTTCAACCAGAGCCAGGGCTAGGAGGCTGGAAACGTCTCCACCATGTCCTTAAAAGGGGAAACTGAGCTCTTGGAGAAATGAGGAGGGAAGGGGGAGTGATTTAAAGGAGCCAGAGAACCTAGGAGGTTGTGGGTCCAAGAGAAGAGGGCTTGTCCACGGCAAGGCAGTAGAGTGAGGGGGTGACACGAAAGGAGAGACAAACAGCCCAGGGGCATCTGGTTCACATGCCCCCTCCGCAGCTGCTGGGCCCCTGCGTCACACCCTAAATATATGTGCTCACTGGTGTCAGCTTCCTTTAGTGGATTAGGGGACAGCTGTGGGGGCCTCAACCACCAGGCTGGCCTAAATTTAGTTTCCCTAGGGGAATGGCTGGCCCAGGAAGGGAGCCTGGGGTCCACAGGGAAGAGAGTGAGGGGAGGAGGGCCTCCTAGAGCTGCAACCATGTCCCTGATCTTGCTTACACTGAGCCAGCTACTTGGCTGAGACCCAGAGAGGACGGGCTGGCTGGGGTAACCATGCAGAGCTGACACTTGAATCTTGGCCTCTGGGATCTGTCCCCAGCGTCCTGGGAGAGGCTAGGGGGCACTGGCACGGTCCTGGAGAACAGGCCTAGGGTGCAGGCAGTGTCAGCACAGCTGAGTCACAGGCAGTGGGATAGGGCCTTCTGGCTTCTTAGCCTGGAGTCCAGGCTAGGAAGCTGTTCCTGCCCAGGTCATAGCTCTCCCAGGGGGCGTGTCTGGCCTGAGTCAGGCTGCCCAGCCAGGCCCAACCCTCTGAAGGCACCCCTTGTGCGCTTCCTCTTTCTGGGAAGGCCCCCTGGCAATTCTTGCTCAGCCCTAGCCCTGCAGTTTGGGGTTGGGGGAGGGAGCTTAGCTCTGGGCCAGAAGGCTCAAGGCTCAGCTATGCAACCCTATCTGGCATCTCTCTGGGGCCCGGGACCCTCCAGGATTAACTGGAGAGCCAGTTACCTTGGCTTGGCCTCTGGAGGGGTAAAGAGGTGGGCAGACCTAAGCATCCCAGCAGGGGGCTGGGAACAGGTGAGGAGGGTGTCTGTGTTGCCTTTGACTGGCTGACCCCTTCACCATCCCCATGGGGGCAGTAGTGGTGGAGACTGCTGGGGCAGGCCACATCACCTCTGTATTTGGCCCTAGGCCCTGTGCTGCATTCTCTCTCCTCTTACTTTGTCTGCCTCGGTGTATCTCTGCCTTTCCTTGGAATCTGCCATGCACATGCTGTTCAGTTTGGATGTCATCTACCAACTAGAAATCCTTCTGGATTTCCTCTGGGCTCTTATTATCATCATCTCCCTGCAAAGCTCTGGTCCACGTCTCTAGGTTCTGGGGGCCAGGGAGCTGGCTCAGTGGAATAAGCGCTTTTCTAGCAAGCACAGGGGCCTGAGTTCAATCCCTGGTTCCGCCAAAAAAAAAAAAAAAAAAAAGAGCCAACATAAACTTTAGGAGGGGAGATGGCTCAGTGGAATAAGCGCTTCCCTGGCAAGGGCAAGGGCCTGAGTTCAATCTCGGGTTCCGCAAAAAAAAAAAAAAAAAAAAAAAATCTAGGTTCTGGGGAACAGGACTTCTGGTTAACACGCCTTGTGGGCCTTGAGGCTAGCAGAGGACTGCTGGCACAGCAGGCCTCCGTGTGGAGATCTAAGCATATGCTGGCTGGCCTTGTGTCTCTTCCCTCTGCCTGGAGCCCTCTTTCTTCCCTCCTGTAACCCATCCCTTAGCCCCTGCTCTGCTGCTTATCCCCTCATCTCCCTCAGGAGCCCCCAAGTTAGCCTGAGAATTTGCTTTCTTTTTGACCAGGCTCTCTCTCTCCAGCTCCCTGGCCGTCAACGCTAGAAAGGTGTTGCCTCTCTTTTTTCTGCTGTGTCCCCCACACTGGGTTGGGTTTATAGTGGCACACTGCAAACAGTTTGCAAGCAAGTGAACCTCTAAGTGCTTTTTCTTCCCAAGTCTGAGTATATGTCTGTTGTCTGTCTTCAGTCTCCAGCTCTCTCTGTGCACTGTGTTCCTTTACCATCCTTGCTGGCCCATGTTGTCCAGGCCTTTGCCCTTTACCTCAGCCCCACCCTGTCTTAGCAGCCCCACCCTGTACCCTGTTACCCAAGATAAGAGACTACCCAGAGGGATGGGGCCAGGGTCAGAAGGAAGACCCTTCAGGAGCTGGGGAGAGAAGGGAAGAGGGGGTGGGGAATCTGGGGGAACCTGACTGAGTGCCACCCCCACACCATCCCCATTGGCCCCCTCCCCAGGCAGCCAGACAAGCTGGTGGTAGTGTGGACCCGGCGGAACAGACGCGTCTGCTCTAAGGTAGAGGAGGATGGCAACTGGGGGTCCAGATTGGGATGGTGCCTAAGGGGGCCTAAGGGAAATGCTGACAGGACAGAATGTACCAGGGAAGAGGAAGATGGGGCAAGGTTGGAGACAAGGAAATGGGGGTGAGGGAGGGAAGATTAAGCCTTGGGCGAGGACTTAAGAGTGCCTGTTGCAGGCCCACAGCTGGCAGCCAGGCATCCAGAACCCATACCGGGGCACTGTGGTATGGATGGTGCCTGAGAACGTCGATATCTCCGTGACCCTGTACAGAGTAAGTCTCTTTCTCTCTGATGTGGATGGGAATGGTCAAGTGATTGCATGGGGCAGTGAAACAGTGTCCTGGTGGATTGTTTATCCAAATAGGGGGTTAAAAAAATAGGGGGTAACTTTTTTTGTTTTTGGTACCAGAGATGGAAATCAGGACTTTGCGCTTGCCAAACAAGCACTTATGCCGCGGAGCTATATCCCTGGCCCCTGTTTATCCAAATAGGAAAGGAGAGGGATGAGAACAAGAGTTTCAGGGGAGGCATACCAAGCATGAGCATCCCTGGAGGCTTCTCGGAGGAGGCAGCATTTCCCCAGCACCTGCAGTTGAAGAGGCAGCTCAGAGGCTGGGGCACCTTCTCAGTTAGCACAGGCCCTTCTCCCTGCACTGCCCTCCTCACAACCCTGCACTCACCTGGCCTCTCTCCCCAGGACCCCCATGTGGACCGCTATGAGGCCAAAGAGTGGACATTCATTATTGAAAATGTGAGTGCCAGCATGGGCAGGACCTGGGATCTCAGGGACTTCAAGCCAATGTGATGCCCCTCATTGTGTCCCCTCCTTGTCCTCAGGAGTCCAAGGGGCAGCGGAAGGTGCTGGCCATGGCTGAGGTGGACCTGGCCCACCATGCAGGGCCTGTGCCAGCCCAAGTTCCGCTGCGGCTGCGGCTGAAGCCCAAGTCGGTGAAGGTGGTGCATGCTGAGCTGAGCCTCACTCTGTCCGGGGTGCTGCTGCGGGAGGGCCGAGCCACGTGAGTGCCCACCTGCCCTCATCTCTGTCCTATAATCTCTAACTCCAGCCCTCATCCCTGACCTCTGACCCCCAGGGATGATGACATGCAGAGTCTTGCCAGCCTCATGAGCGTGAAACCGAGTGATGTGGGAAACTTGGAGGACTTTGCTGAGAGTGATGAGGATGAGGCTAATGTCCCAGGGGCCCCTGAGGCCTGGGCTCGAGGCCCCCAGCCAGGTGGGTCCCCAGCCTGCTGTGGGTTAAGACTGCTGGGCTGAGGAGGTGTGGGAGGCACAAGCCACTGGCTGTGCTGGGTGCAGGCCAGCTATGTACCCCCAGTAATGAGAGTTTATCACTGCCCAGCAGTATCAATCTCCCCAGCACCCCCCAGTTGCCCCAACTTTGTCTGTGGTCCTGGTGGCTTCAGTCCTTGCTGAATCTGTAAAATGGGTTCCTACCACCTCTCCAAGCCCCTGTGTACCCCTCCCGCCTCCGTGGACCCCTGCCTGACCTATATATGAACTGAGAAACTGGGTGACAAGGCCAGGACAGCTGCAGTCCAATTCCTCCTTTCTCTTCCCTCCATACCTGCCCTCCCCACTGGTGTCCTCTTCCTCCCAGCTGCTTATTAAGGCTTTTTGTCTGTGTCTGTCTCTCTCTGTTCATGTTCTATCTGTCTCTCTCTTATCTATCCCCACCACCCAACTGTGGTTCTCTCCCTTCTCCAGGCCTGGGCAGTGCCTTGAGGCTGGGGCATTTCCCAGGTAGGCCTTGGACTCTAGTTGTATGTGTGGAGGGGCTAACCTGCAGGGTTTTGCCCAGAGCTGATGCTGCCCCTTGTAATTCCCTCCTCAGATCCTTCTCGGGAGCTGAAGACCCTTTGTGAAGAAGATGAGGTCCAAGTACACTCCAGGCAGGCAGGTGAGGCCTGGGGTGGGGTTCTAGGTGAGGACCAGAACTGAGGTCACAGAACCCAGATCTTAGTTCCTTCTCTTTTCCTCCCCAGATGCCAGCCCTACTAAAACTGAGGATTCCAGCCCAGCCCCTGTGAGTGGCCCTGTGCCCCCAGCCAGAGCCTCCCGGGGCCAGGGATCAGAACCAGTTACTATAGCCGGGGGCCAGGTGGGGCGGCCCCCAGGAACCCCACCAGAGGCAAGGTGAGACAGAGAACCAGCTCCAGCCTTGCCACTGTTAGGAGTTGTTCTCCCCCTTCCGACTGCCTCACAGTACACCAAGAATCCAAAGAGGAGGGGTGGAGGTGTGCAGAAGCCCCCTCCCAACATTCTCTTGTGTTCTCTTCTTAGGTCTTCCAGGCAGCCAAGCCAGGACATGGCCCCCACCCCAGCCCCTCGGCTCCGGAAAGGCTCCGATGCCCCCCAGCCCCCAGTCCTCCAAGAGGGAAACCAGGTCCCCAGTGCCAATGCCTCAGAGGCTCTCTCAGTAGGAATGGGTTCATCTGGGGATACTGAGGCCTGGACAAGTCCCCAGGAAGAGACAGAAACCCAGGGAGCCAGGCATGACTTGGACACTGAGCATATGGACTCCAAAGACCCCCTGGGAGGGCAGAGACCCAAAGCTGAAGAAAGGGTGACTGGGGGCAGGCCAGAGATTCCGGGGACAGACAGTGAGCGAGGGGCAGGGTTTGAAGAGGTGCTCACCAAGAAGTCAGGGTGCACAGCTGGAGAGACTCAAAAGATTCCTGAGACTATCAGAGTACTTCAAAGTAGAGACTTTGAAGCAGAGCAGAGACCTGTGGCTACTGTGGAACCAGAGACTGTAGGGCTTCTGCCTGAGGCAAAATTCAGGGTGACTCCTCAGGCACCTCCGAGGGGCTCTCAGGGGAAGATAGGAGTCCTGATGCAGGAAGAGCATCCCACAGGGCTGAACTCATCTCCAGCAGAGCCTGCAGGATATTCTGGGTATCTCTGTGATCACAGCAGGGCTAGGGATGCTGCAGGCCAGGAGACAAAGGATGTGGAGATGAGGGACAGAGCCTCTGGTATTGGGAGGACAGGTCTGGAGCAGGGCCCTTCTGCCGGACCAGCAAGCCCAAGCCCCCAGGTGAGCAGGTTTGAGGGGGCCCCATCAGTTGAACAAGGGGCAAGACCTAGGGATCTGACAATCTGGAACATGGAAGCTGAGAAGTCAAGGGTCCTGGAAGCAGAGACTGAACAGGCAGAGTGGGAGGTATTGGGTGCACAGGAGACAGAAGCAGGGGGATCAGGGTTCTCAGAGATACAGAGTAGGGCAACAGACACTGAGATATTGGGGGCCCAGGAGACAAAGACAGCAGGATCAGGGGTCCTGGAGTCAGAGGCTTCTAGGCCAGTGGAGCTGGAGGTCCTGGGGGCCCAGGAGACAGGGGTTCCAGGGGTGGTGGGAAGAGAGACTGAGCTAGCAAGCTCTGAAGTGATGGGGACCCAGAAAATAGAGGCTGGAGGTTCAGAAGTTCTGAGGACAAAAACTACGGTAGTAGAGACTGAGCTATTGGGGGCCAAGAAAACAGATGTAAGAGGTTCTGAGGTACCAGAGACAGAGGGTGGGGATGCAGAAGCTGAAATATTGGGAACCCAGGATATAGCCTCTGAGGGGTTAGGGGTTCCAGGGGTAGAAGCTGAGATGGCAGAGTCTGAGTTGTTGGGGGACCTGGAGGTAGAGGTAGGGGTTCCAGGGATGCCAGGGACAGAGGCTGGAATGGCAGAGTCTGAAATATTGAAGATCCAGAAAGAAGTAGATGAGGATTTGAAAGTTCTTGGGACAAAGACCAGGATAGTAGAGTCTGAGATGTTGGGGACTCAAAGGTTATCTGAGGGTTCCACAGTCTTAAAGATAGAAGCTGAGATAGTAGGGTCCCAGAATATACAGGTAGAAGATTCTGGGGTACCAGAGAAAAAGACTGGTGAGGAAGAGGCTGATATACTGGAAACACAGGAGTCAGGAACTGAGGGCTCAGGGATTCTAGGCGTAGAAGCTTGGGTGGTGGAGTCTGAGACACTGGAGAGCTATAAGACAAAGGTTGGGGTTTTGGGGACCTCAGAGTTAGAGACTGGAACAACAGAAGCTGAGGAGCCTGGGACCCTGGAGATAGAGGTAGGAACTTCAGAGGCTTCAATGATGGAAACTGAGAGAGTAGAAACTGAGCTATTGGGGACCCAAGAGATAGGGGATTTAGGGGTTCCAGGGATAGAAGCTGAGAAAGCAGAGTTGGAGAAATCAGAGGCCCAAAAGCCAGAGGTGGAAATCAGGACAGCACAAGGTGAGATAGTGAGGACCCAGGAGGTAGCAGTTAAGAATTCAGGGATCCCAGGGCCAGAGGCTGAGGTAGTTCAGACACCAAAGATAGAAACTACAGTTGTGGAGTCTGAGGAGGCAGACGTTGAGACTCTGGGGGTCCAGGAAGCAGAGACTAGAGTTGGGGGAGCCCTCATTTATGAGGCTTTAAAGGTCCCAGTCACAAAGCAAAGAGTTTTAGAATGCCAGGAAGTAGAAACAGAGGTTCCAGGAGTATGTGGAGCAGAGACTAAAGTTTTGAGGGTCCAGGAAGCAGAAGCTAGGGTTTTGGAGGTATCAGAAGCCAGATCTGAGGTTCGGGGGACCCAGAGAGCCGAAATAGCAGTTTTGGGGCCTATAGAGATTCAGTGTATTTTTGAGGCCCAGGAAGCCTTGGGAACCAAGAAGGGGAAAGAAGCTGAGGGAGGCGTTCCAGAGGCAGGCCTGACTGAGGCACAGGTGGCCAGTAGGGCAGGGGCTGGGGTGCCCAGGCCCTCAGGGGCCTCTTCCCCAGAGGAGCCTGAAGAGGACAGGAGGCTGCCGGGCAGCCAGGTAGGGATGGGAACTGCTGAGGGCTCAGCCTGCTTCTTCCCCCTAACCTGGGGCTGCGCTAATGTCAGCTCTTCATGGATCTGTCTGAGACTGAGATGCTGTGAGATGGGGGGCTCAGCTGCAAAGAGCCCCTCATCCCATTTCATCAGGGTTCCCTGGCTCTCCCACCTTCCCTGGGCTGGGCTGCATGGAACTAGATACCCCTAAGCTGATTTTCTGGACTGACCCTGAAGTGTGGCTGCTGGTGACCTCTGATCTTGCTGGGGGCTGCTGACCTTTTAGATGACCTTGGCGGATAACTCCTGAGCTAGAAACCCTTAGCTCTGGCCAGTGGTCTCTGGTGACTTCTGAAAACTCACAGCTGAGACTTTTGTGGCAGGCCTGAGCTTCCTCAAGGGGCAGTGGACTTAGGTCCTAGGAACACATCCCCTAAACTCATCCCTGTATCCCTAGGCACCACCTGCCCTGGTCAGCTCCAGCCAGTCCCTACTGGAGTGGTGTCAGGAGGTCACCACTGGCTACCGTGGTGTCCGAATCACCAACTTCACCACATCCTGGCGCAATGGCCTGGCCTTCTGTGCCATCCTACACCGATTCTATCCGGACAAGATGTGAGTTGCCAGTGGGGTGGGGTATATGAGGAGCAGGGTGGAGGGCACTGTGGGTCCAGCCCCTGACTGGTGCTCTCTCTGCAGTGACTATGCCTCCCTTGATCCACTCAACATCAAGCAGAACAACAAGCAGGTGAGGCGGGAGGGTGTCAGGGCTAGGAAGAGGCTGCAGCTTGAGAAGGGGAACCTAGCAATGGATTTTGTAGGTTTTACTTAGTCATTCAATAGTTTGTTTTTCTTAGTATTGTATTGGCACTTAAAAAAGTATATTGCCCCTAGATAGTTTTTCCAAACCCATCAGCTGGTAATGGGGTGGGTGGTGGTGTGCTGTTGCTAGGTAATAGGAGGGCACACCCTTGCTAGATTTCCCTCTGTGGGGTGGGAGGAGGGGTCTGAAAGGTCATGAGGTAAACCCTGGTGTGCTAGTCTGTGTGACCCCTGCGTTGAGGGTGACACATGTCGTTGAAGGTGACACATGTCGTCGCTGCTGACACCATGCACACCTTTCCCAGGCCTTCGATGGTTTTGCAGCTCTGGGTGTGTCAAGGCTGCTGGAGCCTGCAGACATGGTGCTGCTGTCAGTCCCCGACAAACTCATCGTCATGACATACCTATGCCAGATCCGCGCTTTCTGCACTGGCCAAGAACTGCAGCTTGTGCAGCTGAAGGGTGGCGATGGCAGCGGCACGTACCGTGTGAGCAGCACTATGCCAAGCCTGCCCGATGAGCTGGATGCGGGTGACTTGGCTCAGCGGCTGCGTGAGCATGGGCCTGAGATGCCCAAGGAAGTGGTGAGCCACACAGAACCCATCACAGAGCCTGTGGGCTCAGACACAGGCTGCACCCCCAAGGATGGTGAGGCTAAGGCTGTAGGAGAAGCAAGTCCCCCAGGAGCCCTGGCCAATGTCCCCTCAGCCCCATCATCCATAGCTCCAGTTCCCCCAGCAGAGGGGCTGGTGAATGGGACTGGGGCAACTACAGGCGGGGGTTGTGTGAGACTGCGACAGGCTTCGGTCAATGGGGAGGCTGGCCCCGTGCCACCGCCTCGTGCGCACGGTTCCTTCTCCCACGTGCGCGACGCCGATTTGCTGAAGAAGAGGCGCTCAAGGCTGCGCAGCAGCAGCTCCTTTTCTGTGGATGAGTCAGACTTGGGAGCTGCTACAACGGTAAGTGCCTTTCTACAGCTCTGAGGCTGGGTAGCAGGGAACCACGCACAGAGAAGGGTCATGTGTCCCCAAGGACAGAGCTGGAAGCTTAAGAACAGGGAGACGTAGCTAAATACAGGAAGGTGCTTTCAGCTTGGAGGGACCCTGGTGCTGTGGCTGTGAAGGTGAACCTTGGCGCAGTGTTCCAGCCAAGAGCTGCCAGGCCCAGAGAAGACCTGGACTCTGCTGCCAGCATGGAATATTTTCTAGTGGTTTTTCCCCTGCCTCAGCCTCTTGAGTACTGGAATTATATCTGGGCCCCCATGCCTGACCTCCCCTTCTCTTTCTTTCCTCCCTTCCTCCCTACCGTCCTTCCTTCCTTCCTTTTTTTTTTTCCTTCCTTCCACTGGGGATTAGGTCCAGGGCTTTTTTACTTACTGAGTTGCACCCCCAGCCCTTTCTAATTTTTTACTTTGAGACAGGGTTTCTCTTAGTGTCTAAATTGCCCCAGGCTAGGCTGGATCCTCTTGCCTTGGTCTCTCAGGGTGCTGGGATTATAGGCATGTGCCACTGTGTACAGCTTCTGCTTTTCGTATAATAGGAAGTTGGAGGTTAGAGACCCTGTTGAGGCCTGCGTCCCCACCCCTGTTCATTTGAGGTCTTAGGTCTGCCTTCCAGGGTGTTCTGTCACTGTCCTGAAAAGGAGATGACCCTGGAGAGAACAGGGACTCACTCAAGGCCTCACAGCACCGATGGTCCAGGCCATATAGTTGCGGTGTCTCCGCACTTGGGACTGAGGCAGGAGTCTCATTAGAGGGCAGCTGGGTGAGGTAGAGGCCGGCCTGAGCTACATAGTAAGATCCTGTATCAAAAAAAAAAGTCAGTGCCAGGGGCTTTCTAGCTGTGGTCTAGGACAGCAGGGATGTCCCTCTCAGGCTGCTATGTGGCTGCCCCGTCCTCCTGTGATAGTGCCTCTGTTTGGAGGAAGGGAAAGGGTAAATTGGGAAAGATTTTTCCAGAGGAAGCATTGGCCTTCAGGCTGGTTTAAGGGGGATGGATTTTCTTTCTTTCTTTTTTTTTAATTTTTATTTGTGTGTGTGTGTGTGTGTGTGTGTGTGTG